CCGTGTGGTGGTGCAGGCTACTTGAGAGGCCGGAACAAGAGGATCCCTTGAGCCCAGGCAGTCAAGGCCAGCCTGGGGAATGCCCCAAGATCCCTTCCCAAAACAATAGGTAAAGGTCTCTAGGACACTCCACAGACTTGCTGTTTACAACAGGCCGTTTCTGTGCACTTTCCCCACATCTACCCTGTGAGGAAGGCTTGTCTCCTTGGCAGGTGAAGGACTGAGGAGGGTGATGTTTTCCTGTCAGATGGCTGGCTGGTCATGGCAAGATCTGGGCTTAGCACTTAGGTCTTTCTGTCCTAGACAGGGTCCCTGACTTTTGGCGCCCATTGTGTTAGAACAAATCCACGGGAGTAGACAGCCAGGTGACCAAGACGAATCCTTTAATTGTCCCAAGAGCAAAACATTCTCCTCAAAGGCAGAAAGGACTAATTTGTTGGATTTATGGCCTGGGCAAGTTGTGGTGTGAGTAGCAAGTGCTCTCCTATTTTGGCCCAGACAACTGAGGAATGTAAGCAGTGTGAACTGTGTTATTGTTTGCTCCGAACTTTAGTGAAGTACATGGCAAGAACTCTGGTGGGGAAAGCCTTGATCTCGGGCCCACACTGCCTCCTGATTGTCTAAAGACAACAGGAGAGTTGTTTGGGTGATCAGAGTTGAGTCCAAGGACGCATATACTTTGAATAAATGATCCATCATAGGGCCATAGTAGTCTCAGTCTCTTGCCCAGCCCCAGGGAGACTTTCTATCATTAAAACTACCCAGGAGTCCCAGTCGCTTCCCCGATGTTTCCCTGGACACTGAGAACACACTAGAACTCACAGTCTCCTCGGAAGAGTCTTCAGACCTAACTGCTACTTTGGTTTAAAGCTGCTGCTCACCAGGAGATTCAAAAATATAGTCGTGGGTGACAGGCACAGCACAGCAGGAAGTGCAGAGGGGACACTGCTAGCCCCTCCCTAGACCGTCCTCTCTTGAGTTGTCCTAAGAGAGCTGAACTCAAGTTCTAGGACATCTTGGAGTCAGCCTTGGTCACTAGCAGCACTGCACCTGTAGGAAGTGTGCTTGCTTTGAGGGTGGTGAAGACAGAGGGCTCAGCTAAATAGGTGTTGGTAACATCCACATGGCCTCATCACTGCCCTGTCCCCTCCTTCCTGGGCCCACAGGAGATTTTTCTCCCTAAATCGTGAAGTCATTCTTGTGTTGCTTTTGGAATGGGGAGTATAGAGTGCTTTCCAAACCACTTTCTCTCCTGTTTTGCCTTGGGAGGAACTATAACTCAATGGTAGACACTTGACCACCATGCACAAGACCCTGGCTTTAGTCTCCAGTACTACAAAGGAAAAAGAAAAAACTTAACAACAACAACAACAACAGGTTGTATTGATCTATAATTCACATATCATGCCAATCATCCAAAAAAGTATATATTTAATACTTTCAGCATTTTCACAGCTATCTCCATGGTCTAATTCTAGAATGTTTCATTTCCCCTAGAAATAAAATCAAATCTCCTCATGGTCAATCTTCATTCATTCCACAAAGTCTGCCCCCAGTCCTGTGAAACCACTGATTCACTTCCATTTCTCTGCATCTTCCTATCCTGGACATTTCATATGAATAGAACCAGACAATAGGGTGACTTGGCTTCCCTCACCTAGCATGTTTCCAAAGTTCATTCATGCTACAGCATTCATTGTGTTTTTAAAAATTACCTGGTTAGCATGTTTATACTTTGATAATTTCATTCTTGTGTACATTGAAATATCATATCCACCCTGACTCCCCCTTTCCAACTTCATGTCTTCTTTTTATATCCCACTAAGCTCAATTAGTGGTGCCCATGTGTACGTGGGTATAGGACCATTCACTAAAGCATGGGAAATCTACCATTGTCTATGCTCTAAAAGAAGAATGATCCTTCCTCCTTATTGGAGGCTTTTAAAATTGCCAAACAGTTCATTCATCAGTTGATGGACATTTGGGCTATCGAGAACAGCAGTACTCTATTAGCCATGCACTGTGGAGCCAGGTTGAGAAGGCCGTCAGCCTCCCTTATGGCTACAGTGCAGCCGAAACCTTGCCATCCACATGCTTTGAGATATTGAGGAGGCCTGGACACCTTTCTAAACTGTGGCTAACCAGTCAGAATTACATTTGGCACTGAACTATTAATTTTAAATGTGTAACTTAGTCATAGCTCCTAAGTTCACATAATAGTTGGGCAAAAGGAAAAACGTCAGCAAAGGTTTTTCTTAATGTCCCCACTGCTCGCTAAGGCCCTACACAAGTGTGCCTGCCCACATTGCACAATGCGGGTGCTTTCTTCTTTCCTCTATGCTTGTTGGTCCAGCTGTCCTGGCTTTCTGCTTCAGAACCAAAGTTGATGGGCAAGACCAACAACCAAACACTGGAAGCCAAGCCCAGTGCCAGGGCTGGAGCCAGAACATAGCCACTGCTGCTGGACTGGAAATACTGGAAGCCACTCTTGGCCATTTGGAGATGTTAATTAGGCTGGCAAATCCCCACTGGTCTTGGGTTGCCAGTGTTGAGTTGCGTGTGCAGGCTTTCCCATCCACTGCCTGCACCTGTTCCCCTCCTCAGAGCCATTCCAAGGGGTCTGAATACTCCCCCCCACACACCCCGTCAGTTCTCTGATCCCCCTCAGCCTGCCTTCCTGCTGGGAGAATAGTTAGTACTTGCCTAAAGCTGGAACCCCAGTCCAGTCTTTCTCCCTCACCCATGCCAACTCTCAAAATCATTCTCTTTCCTAATTATCTTGAACCAGTTAATCATTTTCATACTAACTGTTCAGTAACAAGGGTGTGGGGGAGAGGCAGCCACGTTTCCTGTCTCCCCGGCCCACATGTACCCCAGGTGGCAGTGCTGGACAGCCAGCTTTCCTCCGAAATAAGAAGCTTTGCTTCAGACTCCACCCCTTTGCAGCTGGAGGAAACATACCCATAAAAGACCCACAGACTCTCAAATAGCGTCTCTAGGCAGAGCTGCAGAGAATGCAAATCTCCAGCCTTATTTGTTATTTCCTGAGTTAAAAAGGAAAGTCCTTGTTGATATCCAGAATATCAAAGAAGTCATACAACACCAAAAAGTAAAACACTTCTCTAAAAATGGCCTCTGGATTTTGCAGGCTTAAACTTTTGTATATGAGCTGCCAGTTGGCCAAAACTATGCCATTCGGTGTCTGAGTTAGACTGTGAAAGCGTCTCTCCAGCTGCTCCTACAAGAAAAGGAGGTGACTGCTGATTTTCCAACACCACTAATGTCCAAACATGCCTTCTTATTCAAGACACACTGCAGTACAATGTCCTAAGTCACCTTGGAACCTCTCAGGACCCTTCTTTCCTAACTTGGCCTCTCCCTTCGGATACCACAGAAATGTGTGTGTCTGTGTATTTGTGTGCTCTACCTCCCCCACCGTCCACTAAGGCCCCAAAAGCAAGGGTGAGTTTTGTCCGCTGTATCCATTGCTACAGCCTGTAATGGTACTTAAAACACATTTAGTGTCCAGTGGATGAAAGAAAGATGGGAGGGGGAATTACACTTTGTGCCTCTTTTCCTCCCAGGCATCATGTGCCTCCCAGTCTCTTCTCATCCCTTATCTCCAAGCTCAGTGTCCTCTCTTATAGACTCTTCGAATAGTGTGCAGGTAGCTGATGCTCTATGCTGACCCCTCGGGTTATACTAAGAGGCCCCCTGCTCCCTGGCCCCAGCAACTGGGACCTCACCCTTCAAGAGTACTGCCTGGATGTCAAGAGCAGGTGACATCTGAGCCCTATGGAATAATCAAGGCAGCCTCCAACTGCCTCTGCCTATGCATCTCCTTAACTCAACCATGGATTGGCAGTTACTGAGATGCTCTTTGTGGGCCGGCACACCACACCAGGCTGTGTCTGGGGACCCTCAGGAGAGGAGCAAACCAGTCCTCATCAGCAATTACAAACAAGTCCTCCATTGTTAGTACGCCATCTGCTTTCTGGGTTTCTCCCAATCAAGGGCCTGTATGCATAGCGTAACAAGGGCCAAGGGGGCTGCAGGAGAGTGAGGCCAAGGAGCCCCTTCCTAAAGAGCCTTTTCACACATAGGAGTGCATCAGGAGCATGGCACTCTGAAAGCCTGAGGTTCTTCTAAACTCAAGGTAGACCCAAGCACACAGAGGTGTGTGGCTCCTCCATTGGATGAAATGGAGCCCTGCAATATGGTACATTGGGAGAAATACAAAATCTAGATAATTACATTATCATCTAAGGATAATTACATTATCATCTGTTATCCACAGTCAGCCTGGACAGAGCCTTTCATGCCCTCACATGGAGAGGTACCCAAGTTCATAGTAGGACAAGGAAGTGCCACTTGGTCATCCAGGGCTTGTCATGGATCCTGGCTTCCACCCCAGATACTCTGTCGGGGCCTGAGTTTTCATCAATAGGAGAATGTAGCTTCATAGAAGTACACACACTTCCTTCAGAGAAACACACCAGAGAGACTGTCAAAATTGTGTTAGAAAGGCTCTGGCAGATGCGGTCAACAGAAAGTCTGAGCTTGTAATTGTGGCGGTGTGCACAGCGGTTGGAGTCACTACTAAATGTCCAGCTTCAATAGGCATCTAGCTATATGGAATTCAGGAGAGTTGTAGGGAGCGCAAGGTTGGGGTAGAAGCAAAAACAGGGGGCATGTGCTGTGTAAAACATAGGGAGTAAGATGGTGTGGAAGGAGTGATGGGGACCTGTCCTAAGGAATAGGAAGCTGAGATCTTCCCTCAGGTCTGTATGCTTCTGAGACTCATCTGTAAATACGGCGCCACCTGGTATTTGGTCCCCTCAAGTGGGTATTCCAGTGAACTTTGAGGAATGATACACAAGGCCTTAGGAATAGGGGTAGCTGGGGGATACATGTGTTATCAGCAGTGTGTTCGTTATCAAGCTGTAGCTGTGGAGGTGCTATCCTTCCATTCACTGGATTTTTATCTTCTCTCTCTTCAGATTAAAGTACATAACGGTCTCATTATGACACTTGAGCAAGGTAAGACACTTTGGTGTCCTCTCCCCTCGCCCTGCCCCCCCCCCCCGACTCCACCCCTCCCTGGCCCATGAGCAAGCCAAACTCTGCTTTGGGGGAGGGGTATTGTTGACTAACACTTTAATGCCCACTCACCTTGTTAGGCCTCAGCCTTGCCTGCCTCCTGTCTTCTCCCAAGGGGCCCTGCCCACTCTCCTGTCCCTACATGTCTGTGCTGCCTGTGGAGCCCAGCTTTGCCTGCCTTTCTTCTGCCAGTACACCTGCCATGGTGGAAAATGCCTTTGTCGCCTCCCCTTTGTGTGGGGGGCTGCAGGGAGCCATGGGCACAGGGCCGTCCCCCCCCCCCTTTTTGTCGGGCAAGCCTGGAGAAGCAGGATGTTGAGATGAGCCGATAAGATGAAGCCCGTGCTGGGCTGGCCTTTGACTGCTTGCCTTAGCAGAGGCCTCCAAAGGCCCCCACACGGGGAGGGCAGGTCATCAAGGAGGGCTGCTGAATAGAGCAGCTGGGAGAAGAGACGCAGACAAAAGATGGCCAAGTGCAGAGGGCAGCGAACCCCAGGATCTACTGTCTAGGACTCAGAGAACAAGCTGAGATGGCAGGTGTGACCTCCCTGCCTGACCTTTCTGTCCTGGCTCTGGGATCCTGACCGAGCACAGATAGCTTAGACGGATGGCAGCCACCACTGCAGGACTAGGAAAGGACTGGTTCACAGGTCGGAGAGCCTTGGATAGTGACTATGGTAATGCCACTCAAAAGAGAAAGAGCTGTCATTTGTTAGCCACATTCCTATGGTGCTTCCAACACAAATAGAAGTAACTCACCCAGGACTCCTCTGTAACCCAGCAGGCTGCCACACCTGCTGGCTAGATGAGCCACTGGCCACCACAGTGAGTCAGTCCTCTAGCCCAGTTCCCCTTCCTCTTCTTCTCAGCCATGGCTTTGGACTGTCCCAGCAGTGTCCCAAAGGTGACAGCATCTACAGAGCACAAGTGCTGTAGTCAGGAAGGCTGAACAGGATTGGGAAGTCCCTTCCCAGTAGGAGTTTAGGGGCAAAGATCTATATTTTCAGCCCCCTGGTCCCATGTACTCCTGCACCTGCCCTAGCAGAGGTAAAATAGAGCCCTTTGAATAAGCCCCAGCTTCCATCCCCAGCAGAAGCTGGGCTGGGCCAGCACTGCCAGCAGCTTGCAAGTATAGTCACTGTGTCAAGAAGGCAGCCCTTATCCTTTGTGCCCATCTATGCATTCTGCAGCTGCTGCCTCCCCATCCATCATGGGGTGCAGTGGGCATAGGGGAGCCACTGCAGGATGAAGGTGCACCAGCAGAAAGTTGAGGACTGAAGGAATGCATGGGTCATGGTTCCACTGGCTGCTGGTGTGGCTTTGCTCTCTGCCCTTGGCTAATGGGGTCTATGCCTTTAGGAGTGCAAACCCCTTGCTTGCAGAGCTTTGAAGTGATGGCTCAGGCTTATTCAGTGAGGCAGCTGGCACTATTCTGTCCATCTGCAGGGGCTCAAGCTGTGACCCTCTGTCCTCCTTGTCCTCCCTAGTAGAAGGGGATCAGGGTATAGCTGAAACATTTGCTTATGACCAAACAGTAGCTGTGCCTTTGCCTAATATCTTCAAGCATTTATTGACTTGCTTTTTTTTTTCTTTTTTGGCTTCTTAATCCTAACTGATCTGACCAGAGTGGGTGGCATTTCAAACCAGAATACTCTCTGAAGTTCAGTCAGGTTTGTTTTCCCTACTGCCCTTTACCCCTGATCAAATGTTCCTGCCCACTCCTAACAACTAGGGCATGGAGATATGTCCATAAAAACCTGGTCCTTGGGGGGCTAGAGAGATGGCTCAGCAGTTAAGCACTCTGACTTCTCTTCCAGAGGACCCAGGTTCAAATTCCAGCACCCACATGGCAGCTCACAACTGTCTGTAACTCCAGACCCAGGGGGTCTCACACCCTCTTCTGGCCTCTGCAGGCACCAAGTGGCACAGATACATACATACATATACATATATATATAAAAGCAAAACAAATACATGTTTAAAAACCACACTGATCTTTGGAAGGCCAGGTCTAGCTGTGCTCCCTTTGTTTAAAGCAACCGAGTTTTGTGTTTTTGATGGGCTGGGACTTAGGGCTTCGTGCATGCTAAGCAAGGGTTCACCCACTGAACTACCCCACCCTTAGTAGCCTGTTTCTGAAGAGGAAAACAATAGGAGAGGGGCCCAGGACTCTCTGTCTGCTAACCTCACTGGCACTAGAAGGGAGGGAGGTGAAAGCTTGTCCTTGAAATCTGAAAGTGAAAACCACAGAGTGCATGGGACAGTGTCTCCACAGGTCCAGGGGACTTGCAAGTACCGTACCAATTTCAGAAGCTCTTCCCCAGAGGATAAGGCAAGATCAGAAGACATATTAAAAAATAAACAGCCATAAATAAAAAACTGTAGACAAAATAACCCAAATAAATTCATTTCAAACACCAGTAATGACCGTTTCAAAGGCCACAGTTCCAGAGGAAAAGCCCATAGGGAAGAGGCTCCAAGAGTGCTGCTTTTGAGGTTTGTTCTAGGCAGAGGCCACTCAGGGAAGCTTAGAGCATTTAAAAATATATTACAAGGGGAAGGGTGATGAAATGATCCTCTCATTTGAAGAGTGGCCCTCCGAGACCAACCAACGCCGCAACAGCGGCCGGGTGTTGCAGCAGGCATTCTTGTATTCCTCTGAGTCCCAGACAGCCACCCTGGGGAAGGGAGGAGTGCAGATCTGTGAGTTTTAATTCTATCCCTTGTTCCCTCTAGTGCTAAATAGCTGCATGCTCATCTGGACTCATTCAGACAAGCAATTTAGGCCTGACCTCTCGTCTTAGGCCCTTTAGGGAATAACTGAGTAGTAACTCATGTGAAATATCAATATGTAAACACGCAGGGATCCCAGTAACACAGCATCGGCACAGACTCTGCCCAGGGCTCCTTCATGGCTCTCACTCCATTGTGCTGCAATCTGATGCCTTTCTCGTCATTCTTTACTTCTGTACTAGCCAGAAAGGCTGGTTTTATTTCAGAGATTCACAGATTTGTAATTTCTCTTACGTTGTAGAAAAATCCGGGGCAAAGACTAAGAGGAATGACATTTCTTTGATGATGCATTCAACAAACATCCTTGCAAAACACAATGTGGGGCAGGAAGGACATCAAACCCTCTTCCCAATGACCAAGCTCTCTTGGTCTTCCGAGCACCATATATACTTCCTTCAGTATGTGGCCACAGATTCTCTTTGACCTCCATGGCTTGGCCATTCTCTGCTTCCTTTGCAGGCAGGGGTCTTGACCTCCAGCCTGAGTATGGATCCCAAGAAAATCCTCCATGTGGAAGAGACAGGCAAGACTCTCCTGCTTTCCCCAGAACCCTCAAATCCAGACTCCAGGAAACTGCCACTGTGCCAGCAAGCCTTCCCATTGCTTGGCCCCCAAGGTCGGAAGTGATCTAGTTTGTGTGGAACTTTCAAACAAGACTGTGTTCCTCTTGTCCTGGAATTTCATAAACCTTGGGCTTCAGAAGAAGAAAAGAAGTTGCTATCAACCAGGAACAAGTCTACGACCATGTGGGCAATGGAGTCGTCTGGAGCCTCAAGGAAGAACACAGTAGCAAAAGGTTGGGGGCCCACAGGGAAGGGGCAGAGGGCACTTGTCTGGATCCCCGAGTTGTTTTCTTGTCATTATATACCCAAGCTTGATTCCCAACAGGGCTGACAAAACAATTGTGTAATTGGTGGAAGAATTTCCGCCATAATGATTTTGCTAATCTTTTTTGTTAGGGTTTACAGTTTAATTCAAACTTTTCATCATCAACATTTCATCATCATGGAAACTGGCTGTCCCCAGGGTCTTTTCCCACAGGAAGTTTCACCTCCATCATCAAGCCTTTCTCCACCTGGTACCTGAGGGCCACTGACTAAGATTCTCCTGACAACACAGTTCTGCCAGGTCTTGACAGTGATGTTTCACGTAGAGTGATCAGAAATGTCTAGATACAGGCCTGTCCACAGGAGATCAGTAAGCAGATGACTAGCAACCCTATCCAGGCCAACTTAGCCCAGCCCAGCCCAGTTTAGCACTGCCCAGCCCATCCCAGCCCTGCCCAGCCCAGCTCAGATCAGCCCTGCCCAGATCAACCCTGCTCCAACTCCAGGGCTGACCAACACCCGCATCCTGTCCAGTGCCCTCAAAAGTTCACCTGTGGTCTTCTTCCTACCTGTTGCTCAGAGACCAAGACAGGCCTTGAAAACAGCTCTTGTCACTTAAGTTTTAGGGTAACAGATTCCAAACAATAGATTTGGATCAAATATATATATGTGTGTGTGTGTGTGTGTGTGTGTGTGTGTGTGTATGAGTTACATACATATGTATATGTATGAGTTATATACATATATATACATACATTCATGAGTTATGTGTGTGTGTGTGTGTGTGTGTATGAGTGTGTGTGTGTGTGTATGAGTTATATACATATATATACATCCATTCATGAGTTGTGTGTGTGTGTGTGTGTGTGTGTGTGTGTGTGTGTGTGTGTGTGTGTATAAATTAACCTATCTGGCTCCAAGGAGGGTGTGTTGTGCCTATTAGGGATAGGAGGGAGGGAAGGAATTAAATGTGTCCCTTTCTGGACATCTTGGACCTTAGAACCCAGCAACTACGAGTCTGTTCACCGGGGAGACCTCTGTCCCTGCTCCCCACCCTCTGCCCTGGCACTGTCTCAGAGCTCCAGTGTTGCTTCGTTCCCTGCTCTGCCTCAAAGCGAAACACAGAAATTGCAGTAGAGGCCATCCCTTGCTGCATGGTCCTGCTACATGAGGCCATTTCCCAGTGCACGTGTCTAGGTGACCCCATCGCCCAGAGCAGGAAAGCAGCTATAGAATGTAGCCTCTAGGGGCGCTCAGGCATGAGAAGGGAAGCCCTGGATGTGGTCACCTCCCTGCCTTCCTCTGCCCTTTCTTCTCACACATTACTCCTAGCCTGCTTGGTCATTCCTCTGAGCCTGCTTCTCTACCTCCTCAGTGGCCATTCTCCCCGAGAAGCCAGCTTTCTCCGTCTACTGCAGAGCCAATTTGGCCGCTGTTGACTTTGGTAGAGAAAGAGGCAGAGCCAGAAGCCAGACTCAGCCTTGAAGTGAGTGGGAATTCTGAGAGCGACACTCTAGGAGTACCTTCCAGCTGCTGGGAGAATCCACCCAACTGCTTTGAAGGGAACTGTGCAGCCTCCATCCCAGGTCCACAGACAGAAGCACCTGCAGAGCTGCCTGCAGATCATGAACAGAATAGGACTTTGCAAAGCACAAGGAAACCCCCGATCCCTGTGTGCTGTTTTCTAGGGGCCCAGCACACTCATTGGGAGCTTAATGATGATGGACGGGAAATGAGATGCCACGATATTTCCCATTGTGGCAGTGATACCTTGACTCTTATCCCACCCACCATGTGTGCGTGTGTGCGCGTGTGCATATGTGCATGCACATGTGTGTGTGAAAGAGACAGAGAAAGACAGAGAGATTTGAGCTTTCTGGTCTGGTTGCCCAGTATTGTTCAGACTTCTATTATTGATTCTCTGTTTCACTGTTTACAAAGTTCCCAGTCCTGACTCCTGTTAAAAACACACCCCATCCCTTCTGCAAGAGCGCTTAAGGCTCCATAAACCCTTTTTGTGGAATTCTTGTCATTTTGGAAGTCTTCTATTTTTGTTTTCCAGTGGTAGCAGAACCCAGGGCCACAACCCAGGCCCCAGAGGTCCTTTTTAACTCCCCCAGCCTTCTGATCATTTGTTTCCACAAGCCAACACTTCCAGACTTGGAGTGAGAAATTCAATTGGAGGTACCAAGTCACTTGACCTTGTTGTAACCTAATGATTTTACCAGCCCCATGCCCTGGGTGACAGCAGCAGTTTGTGTCTGTTTATGTTTTACTTTTTCAGCCCATGGGCCTTAGGTTGTAACAGCTCTGTTAGAGACTTAGACTTGGGGAGTGGGGACTCTGACAACCATGTTTGGTTGGACCTAGCACTTCTTGTTATTTGGGGTGGAAAATTGAAATGATCAAGTTTGCCATTTCTTTTCTTCAGTTGGAAAAGCAAATATTGTGTTTTCATAATAAACATCTTTTAGCAAAATTGCTAAGGGTCACTCATCCGGTAGAGACCCTCCAGAGAGCCACTCATCACATTAGTATTAGTAGATCAGTCATCTGTAATAAAAGTGGCCCTAATTACCCCGAAGTGTGATAAGACTCTCTGGACTCCTGCAGGGCCTGGCCAGTGCCCTTCTTGGCATGCTGATTTCCGGATTTCCATACAGAGGGAAACTGATATTTATAGTCTTGTTGATTAGACTTTTATGCTTTAAAAAATAGTAATCCTACAAAATTATGACTTTTAAAAAAAATCTTCAGAAGATAGGAGAAAAGAAATTTAGCCTGGTGAGTGACTTTACAAGTTTGCAACTCTTGAGAGCCCCAGGGATCGACTGGGATTCTGTGATGTTGCTGATTAGTAAGTAGGACCTTTAGCCTTATACAGGAGGTCATACAGCTCCAGTGAGCCATGCAAATCCTGTCTTCCTGACTGTCCTCAGGTGTCACTTCCTTATTGCCACTAACTGTGGTGGAGGTTTGATGGACCCTCTAAACCTTTTAGTGTGTCTTATGTGTAGCTGTGTTACTCCATACCTACTGAAGGCAGGGGTCACATCTAAGGGAAACTTGTCCTTTATTTGCACCCAATTTCTATGTATAGGACTTACACAGTAAGCAAACATTTTCTTAGTTTCAGGTCTACAATGTGTAGTATGTGTAAATAGGGGGAAAATTGATAGAGATGATAAATTAAGTTATAGCATGTCATTTGATTGTTTTGAGGTCTCTTGTTATTTACTTTTCAATGCTGCACATTTAGGTTGTTCGGAGGTGGGGGAGACCTCCAAGTCTGCCCCATCTTGGCAGGAGTGTACGTGTGCACTAGGACACACTCCACAAAGGCGGCCATGCTGGGAAAACACTTCGCTCCTTAATGGTGTCACTCAATCCAGTTCGCTCTTCTTCGTTCTCATTTCCTGGGATGATTTGATGAGTTAGAAGCACAGCATCTAGGTGCTGCATGTTTCTGACATTCTTATAGTGTGTAGGAAAATAAAAGTTTATCCCAACATCTAATAAGAAGTTGATTTGCATTTTTTTATTGAACAAAGTTATTCAAAAGCATTTTGTAAGCCAAAGGCAACAGGTGTTCAACACCATAGCTAGTACCACTCAGAAAGCTTACACATACTCAGGTAAAAATCAACCTCATGGTTCATAGTATGGAATGCTAATATTTAGCCACCAGGGAACCTGCAGCCTAAGGGTAAACTTCTGCATATGTGATTCCTCAAGACTCTGGTCTCCAGCTGGGAGCATCATCCATGTCCTCCATCCATCGTCTCACCTAATTAAAACCACCCCTGTCTGTTTTTACAGCAGGTATTGAGCCTCATAGTAACCTTTGCCCCTGCTTTGTCATTCCTAGGCAGCCCCCTGTTCTAAGCTAGAGTCCCTGCCCCTAAGGAGCAAGGTATATTTGAGAACTTTGTTATTAGGTGACAGACAACATGTAATTCAGCCTCTTTCTAGTGTGGCTAAAGCCAGGTACTGATATTTCCTGCCTCAGGACTCCAGTAATCACATTACAACCTAGCCTGTGGTCTCTGAGAACATAGTGGGCCACTCCGTGTTCCAGACAACAGTGAATTCTCAGGATGCTGAACAACCGAGTTTGTAAAAGTCATTCACTTGTTCCTTTAGCAAATGCTTGCTGAGTACCCAGTACTTGCAGAACATGTTGATGTCCTGAGAAAGGGTCTAGGGAGTCAAGTGCAAAGAGGAGCCTGAATTGACCTGGCTTCGTCTTAGCTATGAACTGATAATCAAGAGCTTATATATGTAGTTCCTTCTAGAAACAACTCTAGTGCTGTGAGCCAGAAGCAGTAATTCACAACCTTCTGCTTCATTTGGGCATTTCTAAGGAGGATTCAAAATCCTGCCTCATTCCCTCCCAGTGTCAAACTAAAGCATCTGCCTCCCTTGTAGCTACCCAGAAGGTGATGGATGCCCAGAAATCGATTGGGGAGCTAGAGGAGCTCTGCTGATGGTATTCTAGACAGCCTCATGTGTCTGTGGCGCTGGGTGGCCCACTGCTCTACAGCTGCTCCTTGGAGCTGAGTCCCTCCCCCTTGCTAACCGTTCAGCTCAGCAGATGGCCTTCCAGGATCCACAGGGAGCTTTCCTCTGGGGTCATATTGGGATACTTTGCAGATATGGAAATGAGCACTTGAAACTCAAAGGCTGTTGTCACTGTTGTCTCATAAAGAAGGTTACTTTCATATTTATAGCAAAAAGATGGGGAGGGGTTGATTCTAGGCACCATGTTCCCTGTGAGAGATTGGGTCATCTTCAGAAATTCTCATCAATACCCTCAGACCATATCATAAAGAATCCAGCTTCCAATGAAAAGGATCACTAAGAAGAATGCAATTGTAGGGGGTTGGTTTGGGGATTTTTGTTTGTTTGTTTGTTTGTTTGTTTGTTTAGTATTCCAGGGGAAATGCCTGTTTCCTCCAATGGAGTATCTTCTAATGAGAAGATACTGCATTTACAGTGTTCACTTCTGTACACACATCTCTGGTGTAGCTTGTGTGTGTCATCTAAGCCAAGGCCACTTGACGGAAATGTTTGTATCAAAGATTGCTCTTCTATGAATGGATGTGGCTTTAACTGCATTTCATTTTCAAAAAAAAACCAACAAAAAACAAAAAACAATGGAGGTTGTGGGAAAAGATCATAAAGTAAACTTCTCTACATATGTGTTTCCTTAACACCCTGGTTTGCAGCTGGGAACACCAACCCTATCCTCCATCTACTTCTGCTATGACAGCTGAGGCCTGAAGGTGTTACCTTCCTGGCTCTCACGCAACTATACTGGGGATTCAGCCAGGAGCTGAGTCCCCAGGTTTCCGTGTGTAGTGACACCAACAACTGTTCTTAACCAGTACGTGGACTGTTGTTGAACAATGTAGTTGTCATGTGCCCATTGTACTTCAGCTGCTCTGAGGATGCTTCGGAGTCCACATCCAAGGCCACCTTGAGTCTGTTGTCATAGGAGCCAGACTGAGCACAGCAAGGTTTTGGCACTGTTGAGGATCTGGTTTGCCAGAAATCTGACCTCTCCTTATCGTCCACAAAAAGAGCACTTGGAACCAACCCCTCCTGGGAATTCAAAAACCACCAGATAACAGATTCCTGGAAAGGCAGATTGCACAGGTCTTAACTGAAAAAAAAAAAAAAATAGACTTTGAAAAGAAAGATCTGCTACCAAGGCAGGCTTGGTGCAATACCCAGGCAGGTTGGCCACACCCTGGAAGTTCATTCCCACCTTCTGGAGTCAAAGAGCCATGTGGTGTTTAGCACTCGCTACCATTTGATCAGAGTTGTGATCACCTCCTAAGAGCATTTACAGGTAAGGATTCCAGGAAAAGATGGTAAACACACCAAGTCCCTTGAACACCACAGGGACCGCCAGCAAAAGGCTTGCTTCCAAAGCCAAGGGTCGGGTTTCCCACATGCTGTCTGCCGTAGCATCTCTCCAGCATAGCTCATGGCCCAGCCAGGGAAGGCAAGGACATCTCTATGGCATGCTCGCCTGCCAAAAGGGACTTTCACATGTGCCCAAAGTAGGTGACCAGCAGCACCACAGCAGGGGACCCTGGGAAATGACATCCCTGCTAACGGGTCACTGAAAAGAACTTGCTGACATTGCATTGTACTTTTTTGGTTGTTAGGATTTTACAAGAAAAATATTTTTTAATACCTAAGTCCCTACTAGCCTAAATTAAGTTGGATAATATGAAAGAGGGTACGGATTTAAGCTGCTGTGTTATATGTGTCAAGCAAACACTTGTCAAGCATGCACGAGGTTCTGGGTTTGATCCCTAGCACTAGAGAAAGAAAAGGTGTGTGTGTGTGTGTGTGTGTGTGTGTGTGTGTGAGAGAGAGAGAGAGAGAGAGAGAGAGAGAGAGAGAGAGAGAGAGAGTAAGTAGGTAGGTAGGTAGGTAGGTAAGTTTAAAAATAATGTGGAAGATTCTGTTCATTTCAAAACCAAAGTCAGAGAAACCAGGAAGTCCTTGTCGCCGTCTTCCATACCATACCATCTTCCAGACATGAAAAACAGGCTTAATATTACACTGATATGCTGCCTTCCATATCAGACTGCATTATATATGTGATTTAAAATTCCATTTAAGACATTGAAGAAAGGAAGAACAGATGCATTAATGATCTCGGGAATAAGGGTGCCTTTTCCTGTGTGTCCAGGTGGAATTTTTAATCTAACATTTATGTATCCCTCCCTCTCCCTCTGGCAAAATGCTCATTGAGTTTGACAGACTATTTTACATGAATAGGTCCTGCTCGTCAGCCTCCTCCTTGGCGTGGGGTCCTAGGGTCTGAAAATTGGAGTGTGCTTTTCACTGAGGGTGTGAAGTGTGGAGGGACGGCTATTACAGATCCTGAAAGGATCTTTTTGACTTCAGAAAATAGCCTGGCCAAGAAAAGCTTTTTTCCATGAATACTCACAGACTGCATTATGCTCCTCGGATGATAGAGGTGAGCACTTTTGATCAATATTCCCCAAGAAACGCTGCCAGGCTAAGTGGGACCTGAGGGCCTCTGGGAGACACCCCCTCCCTTGGAGCTGCTACACCTCTGCAGCACATTTCTTACCAATGCTTTGAGATGCAGCATCAGCTCCCCTCCTAAATACTGACAGCCTATTCTGTCCTCTGTGTACCTCACCAGAAATGGCTCTCCCCAGCTTTCCTTTGGGAGCATTTTGTCACCTCCATTTCAGGAAAGCCAAAGGTAGAGGAAAGACTTGGACAGGAGGAAGACTTGAGCAGGAGCTTCTGAATCAAGGAAGGTTTGTTTGTTCATTTAGCATTGCTGAGATTGCAATGACCTGACAGTGTGGATATATGGATATGTATACATTTTCTCTCCCATTTTCCCCCTTCCCAACTCTCCTCTCCATGAAAATGGTAAGCAGGTTATTAAAAAACAAATTCTCTCTCAAAGCCTTCTCTCCAGATCCATGCAAACACACACACACACACAAACAAAGATGTCGGCTTTTATTTTGTACAGACATAGCATTATATATTATCTGTTACTCTGATGTTCTTTTAAGATTTACTATGTCTTAGGTGCACATGGCTCTAATTCATCATGCTTAGTGGTTGCATATTATTCCTCAAAATGAAATTTAATTTCCTTGGCCTGTGGGTAAGCATTAAGGTGGTCTCCAGTGTTCCTTATAACAATAGTCCTGTAATAAACACCATCACACTTCTACCCTGACATGTGGATGCTTTTTATTTGTGTGGATAAATTTCCAAAACTGAAATAAGTGAGTATTACAACTTGGATCTGGAATGTGCTGCAAAGGCTTCTGGGTCAAAGGCTTGGTTGATCTGTGGGACCAATAGAACACAAGGAAAATGCTGTGCCTTTCAAGATCAGGTGACAGGTGTTACAGTCTCCTTCTGGCCTTTTGAGTAGCTTGCTCTGGGAATGCTGCCATGCTGTGAGGATACTCAAGCAGCACTGTGGGAACTAGAGGCCATTTGAGGGAGCCAGATCAGCAGCTCCCCTTAACACCATCAGCCCTTCACCTGAATGCAGACCTGTGTGGCAGTTAACTGTAACTTCTTTCCCCACTTAATTAAAAGAATTAAATTTATTTCATTTATGTTATGTGTATGAGTGTTTTGCCTTTATGTTTATCTGTGCATCACATGCCTGGTGCCCATGGAGTTCAGAAGATGGCATCAGATCCCCTAGAACTGGAGTTACAGATGGTTGTGAGGTACTGTGTGGGTTCTGGGAACTGAACTCAGGTCCTCTGGAAGTGCAACCAGCACTCTTAACCACTGAGCCATCTCTCCAGCCCCAATAACTGTAATATTCCAAGATACAGCCCCTCAATAGAGAATGCAACTGAACTTCTTTGTATTTGTGACGGTCTTAGTAGCTCAGGTTGACTTGACTGTGAACTCAAAATCCTCCTGCCTCAGCAATTCTGGGCACTGGGATTGAAGATGTGCACCACGCATGCCCAGCTGCTTCTGAATTGCTGGCCTAATGCATAAGTGCTGTTGCTCTTAACATTGAGTTTTGGGGTAATTTGTTCTTATATGGTCAAAGTGATTTAAACACACTAATCCCATAGATAGAAACTAGGGCACTGGTTGTTTGGCTGAACCCAAGATTAGAGGAAGCATTTACATACAGCAGTACATTCTAACAATGGTTCAAATTCCATGGTGAGATATAGTATAACCTTATCCTTTGCACGTAGCCCACAGTATTTCTAGAAAAGGGTACCATACTAGGGACCCAGAGACCTGAGTTCTGGTTTATGTCTAGAAGAAAAGTCATGTGATCTAGGGTGGAGTGGTCAACATCATGTCATCGCACACAAAGTGATGATGAATCATGATACTTCCTACACAGGGTTGAGGTGAAGACCAAATAGAAAAGTTCACATCAAGTGTTCTGAAAAGCCAGAAAGAATGCTAAAAATGCCAGGTTATTTATTATATAATGAATCACCTCTAAAACTCAGTGTTATAAAACAACAGCCATTGTGTTACTTTTCTTATTCAGGGCTCCAGGGAGTGAGTGAGCCCATCTAGGCCATTTTTACCTGTCAAGGGGGTGAAAGGAGCTGGAGTCCTGTTCCCTCTCATGTCTGGGGTTGATTCTCAATCTTGAATGAGACCTCAGCGTAGTCTGACTTGGACTTTCTCATGGTGTGAAGATTGAGACCAAGACACGGGCAGAAGATGCATGGCCATTCCTAACCTCACATAGAAGTCACACTTAGTAATTTCTTGGTGTTACTCCTACTGTATTTTAAAGAAGCATTCACCGAGACCCATTCAGTCTTATAGGGAAAAGGATGGGTACAGAATTTGTTTCACAATGGGACATATGTAAAGGAATTTGAAGAAATATTTTAAAACCTGTACCAAGTGCATTAGTATTATGTGAAACATATAATTCAAAAAAAAAAAACTCAAAAGAGCAAAACTATTGAGTTCTTGCTAGCACTTGACCCAAATAACTCATTTAATCTTTCAGAAAAGTACTATCCAAGCCCAACCTCACTAGCCTCTGAGATCAGGCAAGATTGGACACATTCAGGGGATGGCCATAGACAACTCATTTAATCTTAACAAGAGCCCTGGGAAATACTTAGTCACAGACAGCTCAATATACTTTAGCCAGATGAAGTAGATGCATCATTAAAGGCTCCTAGTTACCTCACTTTGTGTCTAGGAGGGTCAGATAGTATGATGTTGGGGCTAAAATATTCAGGAATACTCAAATGGTCTTACTAGACAAGTCATTTCATAATACTGAACCTTATGATGGCCACTTCTGAGACACAAATCCTTTTCTGTCTCTCCCCAACATGATACCTAAACTTGATACTACCTCCTTGGCATCCCTCTTATGGGATCTATGTCTCATGGTTTGTCTGATTAGAAATCAGGCATCATTAATCTGAGGGTAGCCTGACTCCTCATAGTTTAACATTGGTATTCATGTCCAATCCATTTTCTATAACCTTCTAGCAAAGCCTAGCTGCAAGGGAGGCTGGGAAGGAAAATTTGGAAGTTTTGACTTGGGAAGGCTGGGCTCATTAAGTGGGAGATTAAGCACAGAAAGGGTATTCAAAAGGTATAGTACAAGTAAAAAATATAATCAATGTACAATACATGTGAATGCTACCTTTTCCTCATTTTATCAATAATAAAATGATCAGAGAAAAGACTGATAACTTGTGTAAAGCCCACAGCTCTTAATGGTAGAGACAAGATGATAAGGCATTTGTACTCTCATCCCATGGAACCTCAATAGGTATAACATGCCAGAGAAGGAATGGTGTTCCTTTATATATGAGTTTGTAAAAATCCCTCCACATTGAAAGACAAAGGAAAACTCCAGAAGCTACAGTTGTGACATGCTCTTTGAAGCATAAAGTTTAATTCTTGTTTGGGGTAGGGGGCAATTATGCTGGAAATCAAATACAGAGCCTCGTGCTTGCTAGGCAAGCACTCTGCCACTGATTTGAATATGCCATGTCTTTTATAGGCTCATGTGTTGAAGGCTTGATTCCCCAAGTGATTTTGTATTTGGGAAGGTGGTAGAACCTTTTGGAAGTAGGGCATAGTTAGAGGATATAGGTCACTGGAGGAACCATGTCTTTGAAGAATGTTTTACCCACACCTCTCTCTCTCTCCCTGTCTCTGCTTCCTGGCTACCATAAGGTAAGTAGGTTGTTCAACCATTCCCATCATCCATGATTATCTGCCTCATGGACTAAAACCTCTGAAATCAGGAGAAAAAAAAAAAACCAAAAACTACTCACTCCTGTCAAATGGTTGTTCTCAGATATTTGTCACAGTAACAACAAACTGAACGATACAATGTAATATTTTCTTTGAAGTTTCTAGCCAGGTGTGGTGTTACAGTACTTCAGAGGCTGAGGCAAGAGGATTCCTATAAGTTCAGGGCCAGCCTAGGATACATGCAAAACCCTGAATCGAGCAAACAAGTTTCTAGATCATAAGTGTCAGAGTTTGGACTTGGTTTCATGTATTGGACAGAAATGTGTCTGCATCCCTCTGCTGCCCTTTAGACTAAATTGTTCAGGGATATTTTTTTCCTTCCCTCATTCACATCGGTTGTCATGGTTCTGGGATGGCCTGTTAACTTGCCTGCAGGAGTATAACAATGAGTGATTTCCACACCAAGAGTTCTTAGAACCGAAATGGAAAGTAAAGAACCAGATAGAAGGGAGCATAGAAAGCCAGCTCAGAGTGATTTTCCCACCATGCTGTGGCCTAAAATGCCATACCATCTATTTCTCTCTCTTATACTTTGCATCTGCAGCCTATTAAAGCAAAGCAGAATCTACAGATTTGGTATTATGCAAGTGGGAGAGCCTTTGTTGTGGTTGGAGTATTGAATGTATCTGATTTTTTTCATAAATATCAGATACTTGCATTTGCACGATTTTTAGAAATAAGTTTCTCCTGTGTTTGATACAGGAGACAGTGTTTCTCTCACCAGGTGGGAGAGAAGTCATCTGACTCCTGATTGAGGACTAGAACTGTGCCTGTCCTAGTCCCCTGGCAAGAGGACAGAATGCATTTCACCATCCATATGAATTCTCCCATACCAGAAGCTTTGCCACCTTGGATTGTTCTCTTTGCCTGCAGGATGGTCAGCTATAAGCCTGTCTCTTGTAGGGCTTCCTATGTCCCCATCTGTTCCACAGATATGGATTAATGAAACCTTGTAGAGTACCTGCGAGAACTCAGTGAGTAACTCAGGCAGGCCTCAGACTAGGCCAAACTGAAGTTAAGCTGCTAATACAGTTACAGATGCATCATTAGTTGGAGCTAGTGGTCCCTGGCTAAGATTTCCAAACACTAGCTCTTCGTTCAAACCTACTGTTTGCCCAAACCAGGATGACTCAGTCTGTGGGCAACAGTTCACTCTAAACCCATCAATATCAACATCCACACAGACTTCCTTGCATCTTGTTAACATTCGGATTCTAATGCAGTGGTAGGTCCGAGATGAGGTCTGCAGTTCTGTCTGCTCTTCAAACTGGCTCCCACATGATGCTGATGCAGTGAGTCTGTGGTCAGCAAAGTCCTGAAAAATGCAAATAACAAGCCTACAACCTGTTTATTGTGCTTTCCCATCTTCATCTGTTTTGTGTTGCTGTGACAAACCACAGACTGGTTGGTTTATAATGAATAGGTGTTTATTGCCTTACAGATTATGGATCCTCCAAAGTCTCTGTTCCCTTGGGAATTCCAAGAGCCTTCCTGCTGTATCATCCCACTGAAGGTAGAGAGCAAGTGAGGAAGAGCATGATGGGCCCGAGGCACGCTTATCACTACCTTACCTTCTGCATTAACAACACTAATCCATCCATGAGGTCACAACCATCATGATCTTGATGCCTCCCATTAGGCTCCACCTCCAAACACTTGAATTGGATATTCTCTTTCCAGCATAGTATTACATTTCTGTCATATGAACTTCGAAGGCACATTCAAACCATAACATCATCATCATCATTGATATGCTTGTGACACTGGGTCAGAGAACTTGTATAAAAATAATGATTGGCAGCCTTTCTCCAGTTTTGACCTTTGGACACTAACCTAAATGTCCATATCCTCAAATACTTGCACAATTAAAAGAGATCAGCAACTGCCAAGAAGATGTTGGCTGCTATTAAATTAACACCATTTTGAAGCAAGTGAATGCTA